ATATCTATGAATCAATATTCAATGGACTATTTTTCTTTTTTGACTTCTACTTATTGAAATAGTTGAATGAATTTTCTTTGAATAATTTATATTTCTGCTAGAACTTCATCTTACGATGAAAAAGTAATATGTGATTGATATCTTCTCAAGTCTTATGATTACGAAAATAAAAATGATTTCTTTGATCATAAAAAAAAAAAACAGCATAAATTTCTACCTGATTTTTATTCAATTCACAATTACGATATTCTTGTTCACCTTCATTTTGAAATGTAACAATAACAAAACCAACGAAAATATTCACCATAAAAAATGCAATTACCTAAAAAAAAAACAACAAAGCAAAAATATATTAAAGGATCTTAAAGTTCGCTTCCTCCACAAAAAGAAGTCACTTTTCGTCATCCTGAAAGTTTCATACAGTTTGAATGCTTCTGACTCAAGATCGATTTGTGACAAGGGAGAAGAAGGTTTAATATATTAAAATTCTTACAATAATAAATGTAATAAAAAATGGAGCAACAAATGGTCGATAATTATAAACTGGACCTTCACCTTCACCTTTTGAATCAATTGCTGTATGCAATAAACTAAAAATAATACACATATATATATATTTTGTAGATGTTTTTATTTACAAATTCAATCAATACCTTGGCCATCCTTCAAATGTTGCAACTGTAAATAATGTTAATAAAGCTTGTGGAACATTATCAAAATGAAATTTTGAATTAGACCATTCTCGAGTTTCTTTATATATATGACCATCTTCAATTTTCAAATAATATCCTCTAGAAAAAAAACAAAATAAATAAATATTAATATTAATCAAAAAAGAAAATATTTTATTTCATAATTCATACTTGCAATCTTCTTTATTCAACATTGATTTATCATTACATGAATAAAATGTTCCCTAATTAAGAACAAAATGAAAATATGTTTCTTAATAATAAGAAAAATATCTTTTACAAATATAATTTACTTTAAATAATTGTACACCCATACAAGCAAACATAAATTGTAAAAGAAATGTAACTAACATAATATTGCCGATGGTTTTTATTGCTACAACAACACATTGTACTACATGCTAGAAAATAAAAATAAAAATTCGTTTTTCTAAATTTACGATCTAAAACGAGTATTGAAATAGAAGTGTAGAAGTTTTAATGTCACTCCACAGACGTAACGACAGTAGAGACCAGCGGGTCTGTCCAGACCCGGACCCGGACTCGGGTCCGGGTCCGGGTACAGAAATTTGATATCACCCGAGTCCGGGTCTGGGTCCGGGTTCATATGTGATTTAGTTTCAGACCCGGTTTGTATTCAGCTAAAAATATAAATATTGAAGGGCTCAGGTCAACGTATAATATTTTCTATATTCTGTTTCCAAATTTCTTGGCTATTTTTCATATTGTATTTAACAAG